CCCCTTTTTTTTTTTTTTCCCCCCGGACATTTGTGAGCCCCCGGTACTGGTCCGGACTGTCCGGGTCCGGTAATGTCCGGACAGTCCGGTAATGTCCGGATCACCGGACAGTCCGGACCGGTCCAGACACCGGTCCAGAAGACAGTCCGAAAGTGTCCGGTGTCCGCGTCCGGGGTTACCATGGTCTATAGTGAACTTTGTTTTTTTACAAGTGCTGGTAAATACGTCGGCAATCAACATAAGTACAAAGAACAACTTGTGCTCTTCCATGCCTTCCTCACCCAGTCTAATCCGTTATCAAACTCTCTGTTCAGCTGCATCACAGAGACATGGTGAAGATTTTCCAATTTCAAGGACTGGCTAAATCCAGTGATGTCCTTTCGCAACAGGCTATGGTCCTAAGAATGAGTTAATCATTCCCAAAAAACTGACACAATTTCTCCAATCGCCTAAACGAAACAATGTGCCACAAGTAACCAAACGTTTTATGTATGAAGCATACGTAAAGGTTAAGGCAAACACTGGAACAAAAATAACTGATTCTAACAACACTTAGTTTATTCCGTACACAACGAAGAGTTGCATGATTAGGTAAAAACATTTCTAGCACTGTGTGAGTTGGAGTTGTCAAAAGATTTGGAGATACAACAAAGACGGAAAGAAACATTGTATAGGGTACCCAACTCACATATTTTATTACACAAAGACTGACCGATAAATTCAAACTCGTCTTCTTGTCACTTTGTCATGCCTCCAAACAGCGGTACAGCAACTGGCGACATGCGCCCACACAGTACTCAAGATATCGTAACCAGATATGAGTTCTCTTCAACTGGCTATGGCGACTGGGCGCCCACACAACTCACTGTTCGCACTCTGGATCACCCTGGATGTCCCACACGCAACACTCAGTATCATACACAACACACACACATACTATGCTACAGCTATGGCAGCGCTAGCTGCCTCTACCCTATCGCTACACTACACTTCTCTGCCCACTTCGTCTTCGGGCGCACTGCAGACTGCCTCGCACAAGCTGCTAAGGCAGCGCTTCCGCCTGGCATCCGCAGGAATGAATGACTGAATGGACGCAGCCTCTTGATTTATACTTCTGTGCTGCATTGGTCTGCCCTGTGTCCCTGGCCCATGGTGCACACAGTTCCCCCCGTGGTACTTGCTGGTCCGGACTGGTACTTTCTAGACTCTCCCTTGACTGAATGACGACGACCCTACGACGCCGTGCAATTGCACCGGGGTCCTACTATTTGACCTTGCCACTTGTCCTCATCTCCAACATGGGCTTGCTTTAGTCACACCACTTGCCCACTTGCCTGCACCACTTGACCTGTCTCTTATACACATCTAGATGTGTATAAGAGACAGCTAGTCTATAGGTCTACGGATCGAATCCTGGCTACCTATAGACCTACGACAGACCTACCTACCACTGGCGGTTCTACAGGTCGCAGGTTCAACTCTTCGAGTTGACGCAGGTATTGTACACAGGTAAGTTGGGGAACTAGGGATCGAGCCCTGGGATCTACCTCAGCTACCACGAATTGGTGAATACCGTTTCACCGATGCCTTCGTACTTATCAGGGAGCCTTTCCCGAGCCCTATAGTCAAGTTTACTTGCATACAGTTCTCATGGAGATGATACGTCAGAGGCTATTAAGTTCGCCGGTAAGCACAACCTAGACCTTGTACACGGGGAAGAAACACATATGTATCCCCTTTCTGATGTCCGGAAGTCCAAGCTAGTGGCATGCTAGCCCAGGTCAGCACTGGCCCAGAGTGTCGGGGGGGACTGCCCTGTTCATGTGGGACTGTCTGGATTGCAGGGCTCAGTGCCTCTGAAGAAGAGGCATAACATGGACAACCCATTACACAAACCCCTTCTTCATGTGGGACTGTCTGGAGCGCAGGGCCTAGTGCCTCTGGGGAATCAATAGTAATAGGTGTGTTCACGGGGTACCCCATCGTACAAAAACAATTCGCTTCTAGTTTGAACCTATGACCCGAAACCAACAACATCTCTATGTGTATTGGAAAACGTGCTGGAGAACAGACATACCAAGATTAAGGGTCAGACCCTTCTCTGCAAGTCTCAGTGATTGATAAAAACCCCTGTACGCAGTCAAACCCCCCGAGATTTTTGCCCAGCCGAAATCCCGATTATACATGGACTTTCCAGCTTGGACATGCCTGCCGCACAAACCACGTGATACAGCACGAGTGCAACAATTCAGGACATCAGGTCTGATGAAGCATGAGTGCAAACAATTCAAGATGTCATGTCAACCCACAACCTTGTCACATGTTTGATCATCACTTGTGAGGCTCCCGTCCTCAGCAAGCCCCTGAAAAGGCTGCCTGTGCAAAATGCCGCATAGCCTTAAGTGGAGGCCGTGGCAAGAAAAAAATAGGCCAGCCCTAAGTGAAGGCCCGGCCTGGATATGCCAGGCGAGTTTCTGACTTGGTTGCATGGGCTGCGACCCAGACTCAGCCCGGCGGCCAGTAGGGATGGCCTAGTGGAACCCAGACCCCGGATGCAAGACAGGGAAAACGAGAGGAGGCTTCGGGAGCAACACATTTTGGAATTGGCAGTAGTGTTGCAGTGACAGAGCAGCGCATTGCCGACAGATACCGCCCGGGCAGGAGGAAGGCAGCCCGGAGTAGCTTCTTAAGCCAGCAAACGCCACACCTAGGCAGCACTGAGTAGGAACTGGGTGGTGTGGTGTTGGGGAGATCAGGATGATGAGGAAGGCAGTGACAACTGCTGGTACTTACCTGATGTTGGCCGAGCAGCACAGATGTAAGCAGAGTCATCATCAGTGTCTGGGCAGAGGTTTGCGGACAGAAAGAGAGTGAGAGCGAGTAGACTGGTGTGGTAGGTAGAGTGGGAGAGCTATTGATGAACAAATCATGAGTTCAAACTTCACCTCTGATAGATACAATAACAACAGGGACTAAACCCTTTTCAGAAAAGGTAAGGGTCTATCACGACAACACCCACACAATTTCCCAACCATGTATATATAGCCAAGCTCTGGAAGGGTCACATATACCGGACCTCTATCAGACATACCCACCCTTCTGGCTGATACGCAGACACATGTAGCTCTTGATAAACAGATCACGAGTTCAACCTTCCAAATCCTGATGGATGCAATAAGGTTAGGGGCTAACACCCTCCGCAAAGGAGGAAAGGGTCTACCAGGACAACACCCACATGATTTCCCAACCTTGTCTATAGCCAAGCTCTGGCAGGAAGAGATATGTAGAACATGTGATCCCTACTCTATCCACAGCATGTAACTTTTCTGACCTTGTTGACCTCAAAACAAAATAAAACTAAAGCCTCTCCCCGAGCTTCCTATATACATGAGTACCGACCACCTGTCCCCAAGTAAGGAAAAAGCACAGCTAACTCTTCGCATTAGGTTTAAGCGGATAACCCTACATTGCTGAGTACCACCCACCTGTAGACAAGTGAAGAAAAATTGCAACTAACTCAGGCCGCTTCGGGGATGCCAACAACTCCACGTTCCTAACCCTTCCTCCAACCGCAGGCCAAGATCCTTGTGTTTAAACTGCCGGTACCTCCTAAAGTCGTGCCCGTTAACAAGCCACAATTTTAGGAAACGTACAGGCCACAATAGGGGTCATCCTTAACATTGAGTTAGGGTAGCATCCGCAAAAAAGATGTTCGGGTCAGTCCGGTAAGCGTTGGCGCAGATCGGGGGGGATAATCCTCCGCACACACTGGGTGTTAGTACGGGGTTGGGCTGGGCACTTCTTCATCCCACGGGTATCTCACGATGCCTGTGGGTGGTGCTTCATCCAGGTTGGTGACTGTGGGAATTGGGATTGTGAATCCTTGGGGAGCTTTGGGTAGGAAAGTTATCATGCTTAGGATAGGGGAGGGCGGCATATCACATCTTAGTAGAAGGGTGGTTCACTTCCGCAGGATGAGCGAGGCACAGATGGCGGATGACCATATATACGTGGACCCCACCTGTGCCCCGGTCCTCCTCATTAGTGTTAGGGTAGTATCCGCACGAAGACGTTCAGGTCAGTCCGGTACGCGTTAGCACAGATCACAACTTGCAATCCGAGCATTAGCATAGGTCATGGCATCTGGTGCCACCTTG